GAGCTGACCGCTTGAGACTCTGATTATTTAAGTCGAGACAGACAACAGACAAAACCAATGTTTTTCATGCACTGGTCAGTTTTGAGATTTTGCTCTATATTGCTTCTTTAACATGTCAGACTAGCAGAAAGAAAACAGGAAAAAAATATGCATTTAATGTTTATTTTATTACACTTTATCTGTTTACATCTATAGATTTCAAGACACCATATGTACTGGTCAGATTTGAGGCTATTTGGCTTTTCTTAACTTGTTTTTGGCAAAATAGACTTTTAATTGCTTATTTTATTGTGCTTTATCTATTTGTGTTTTACTTATTCTCTATATCATGTCTCTTCTTTCAGTCTAGTGGAAAGAAAACATCTAAAATACACATTTAAGTTTGTCTTATTGCACTTTCTTCTACATTTTGATCATCTTAATATTCATGATGTGTCCATAAAGTCATAGTTGCTGGTGTTTCCATGATGGACTGCACTAATCATCTCATTTCACGCCTAATTAGAGTGGATAATTAGGGCTCATGTTAGTTCAACCTGCTCTGATCCACATAAAGAGTCTTTTGTTTGACAAATAAAACCTGGTTTGTGTTCATTCATCCTAAATGATCAGAAAGTCGACTGAAAATTGTGGTGTTTATATAATCATCTTCAATTTGGAAGTATTAGTGTTGCTTTCGGAGTTTCTTACAATTCTGGCTTTTTTCCTCAGAATTGCGAAATATAAACTTAGAATTATAAAATAGAAATTCACAATTCTGAGAAAAATAAGAATTCAGAATGTAATGTATTCAGAATTCTGACTTTTTTTCTGAGAATTGCAAGATATAAACTCACAATTTCAAAAAACAAATGTAGAATTGTGATATAAATGTGGAATTGTGAGGCACAATGTATCGTTTTTTTTTTTTTCAGAATTGCGAGATATAAACTTAAAATTGTGAGATAGAAAGTCGCAATCACCTTTTTCCTTTTCTTTTTTTTTATAGCATATTATTGCACAATTCTGAGTAAAAAGTCAGAATTGCGAGATGCTAGGCCCAGCTGAGAATATTTTGCAATTTCGAGTTTAAATCTCACAATTCTGTTTTTTTCCTGAGTTTATTACTCAGAATTTTGAGAAAAAAACGTAAAAACATGAGATGTCACATTTTAAAAAATGTATATTATAATATATGTATTTAATGAATGTATAAAAATGAAACGTGTATCAACAGTACAGTAAGAATCACAACAAACCGTGTTTACGCAAAAGTAAAATAGTTCGTTAGTGAACTCTATGCTGTTTATGGTTGCCGGGCAACGTAGCGCTTTAATACAGAATGGCTTCACACGTGCATCGTCCAGTCAGAATTTAGATTTGATTATCATTCAATTATAAATGATCTAACATCAACACATTTCCTTCCGCCAAGTAATATAGTTCATTAGTCTGACTGTAGAGTGTAGACCGTTACGGTTGCCAAGCAATGTGGCGCATTAATACACTGAAATGCGGTCACAGGTGCCTGAAATAAAAAATGGGCTCATCCAATCAGATTTCAGTGCCGGAACTATATTTTTGATAAGGACTGTTTACGGTGTAAAAGTTGACTGAAATATTTCATTTGCACTACTTTCAACAGCTATTATTAAAATCTAAAAAAAAAAAAAAAAAAATGAATATCTCATTATGTGAAGTACACAAGATGAGCCGAGGATATTATCATAACCATGACTAGTGACCTGGTCAGTGTAACTAAACTAACTCTGCTAGTGGAACTTGTTTATTAAGTTACCAAGCTCCAGTAGAACCATTTACTGTCAGTTGTTTAAAAAAATGTTTTGTTCATCTTAGTTTTTCTACATTTAGTTAAATTTAAGGTTCTAAAAGTAATGGAAAAATTTACCCCCCTCTATATATACCTAAAACTATACCTAAAAATTCTTTTTAAAAATGGATTTTTCCGTAATTCATAGTTTTCTTCTTCTTGGGAAACCTGTAGATCAGTGTTACTTTTAGTATCTTTTAAATAGTTTTTATTTTTATTTAGAAATGTTATTTTAATATTTTTCATTTTATTTTCAGTTCAGGTTTTAATAATTTTGTTGTTGTCATTTTTGCTATTTTTTTTTAAATATGTCTATAGTTTTTCTTCATTTCTATTTCATTGACAATTTTAGTTATTTTGGTAGATCAAGTTAAACCAAATTAAACTGAGAAATGTTGGTCAACTTCTTTTCTTTTCTTTTCTTCTCTTCTCTTCTCTTCTCTTCTCTTCTCTTCTCTTCTCTTCTCTTCTCTTCTCTTCTCTTCT